ACGTCACTGTCTGCGGTACATTACACCTCAATTAATCACATCAATTACGCATCAATTAACCCGTGGCGATCCACTAAACACAGCTGGGATGCGGGCTGTTTTTCATCTGCGGCGACCTGAGGACTTTTTCTGCAACATCAAAGCAGATGCATCATCAAAAAGAAAAACATTTCAGACAGCTTAACATCATAAAATCCATATTCTAGCTTCATCTCTGTCCTCTGAGCAGTGAGCATGACCCTATGAGCTTATAAAGGCATGTCACTTGGGCCATCAAAAAACCTATTGCTACAACAAAGAGATTGTATACAGTATATTCCAACAGGATGGGGCACTAACATGTTCAAGGGGCTATAAATACAAAGGGGGGAGGAACATGGAGCTGTGATGGACTGGCAGATGCTGATACATGGGCCATTTCTCTAAATGATTGTAGGGTAAGATGGAGGCTCTCCATCTCCTCTCCCTGTCTTTCAGGCCTGGCCTGCTTGTTTGGCTTCGGCTGTAATGGGTCGCTTCACCTTGCTGCCTAGCGTTGGAGGACACCCCCCCTCTCTCTTTCCATTTCTTCTGTTACCCCTCTCAGTCCCTCACCTCATCCTGCCTCTACATAACTCCTCCATCTCTCTCCTATCATTAAGCTGTGCATTTCTCCCACCATCTGTTTCCCGGTCTCTCTTCCTCCTCTCTGTCTTTTCTCGTTGGCTGCCTTTCTTAATTCCACCCCTCCTTGTCCGCCTTTTTTTCTGACTCACCTAAGTGTTGGAGTGTAAACCGGTGGGGTGCCAGTTGTCACGGTGACAGCAGCTGGTGGCAGAGTGACCGATCAGCCTGACCTCCAGGATGGAGATGGTGTTTTTGCTGGGGGCGGAGGTGTGAATATTTTTGGCTGTTTGTGTGTGTGTGGGTTTATTTGATTGTTAAAAGAGCCAAAACATTCTCATCTCAACCTGTGAAGCCACACATCCCAAGTATGTGTGTGTGTGTGTTGTGTATCCATAAAGGAAATGTTTCATCAGCTTTTAAGATGCTTTTAACCCCCCCCCCCTCCACCAACCCCGCAACCCACACCCTTTCACCAAGCCATTACCTAGGCCAAGGTCAGTGCCATGACTGTTGCATAACCCCCATCAGAGAGGCTAACCATGACCCATCTTGCATGTTAAAGTCCAATTGGAGAGGCTAAATGACAGCAATACATTTTCCTGGATGACAAGATGCACCATGAGGAGGACTGGAGATGGTCTATGTAGCAGGGAAGCATGTACATATGTACGAGAGTGTGTCAAGGTAGAGCAAGAGAGGTGGAGAGAAAGAGACAACAAGGTGGAGTGAATGAATCATGTAGAAAAAGTGAGACGATAACTAGACAGTAGACCTCTAAATGTTTTCTACAGGCAGGGCGTTCCACTTTACAGCTCAGTGAGGCCAGGATGTGGTTACATACAAACGTGCCTGAGGATAACACAGAGGGCAGAAGAGCTCCCTGCTGCTGGAGGGGAGCAGGGGTAAAGAGGTGAGCCACAAAATAAGCAACAGAAATAATACAAGACAAAAGATGAATGTGAACACTGTCTGTGTGATTGGATGCCAGCATGGCGCAATGGGGAGCACAATAGGCCTTGGTTTATAAAGCTGCCCCTGTGCCTGTGGTCTTTGTCTCACAGCCATTACAATTCTGTGTATGCAGCAGGGGACCCTGTTGGAGCCATGCCACCATTCAACCTCAGCTGTCAGGTTAGAATAAGGTGTTTTCATATCTTTGGTGAATGGGCTCTGGTGGTGCATTTTAACTGTTGGGGAGCTGCTCTGCACATCAGCCACATTAAAGCCCTCCTGGTCCTCCCAGGTCTTTGGTCTACCCTAGATCTGCTGAGCCATTTTGGTCGGCTTTAATCTTTGTTCATAGTGCTGCAGGAATTCATGGACCAGAAGGACTGCCCTCTAGCTTTGCATCTGGTAGCCTGCAGCACGCACTGCCTTCACCTGCCAAACCAACCCTTCATTCTTTGCTGGAATGGAGGAAGCGACAGTTCTTCATGGAAAATTATTTAATTTTGTATCCTTCCACCCCCGCACCTTCAAGAAAGGATGTCATCTTTACCTTGACACAGTGCAGCACTCAGCCTCTCTCTGATGGACCATTGTCCTCTAATCATTACGTTGAATGTACAGTGTATTGTACATTCCCATGTTTGTCTATACTGGATTGTGTTTCTGTAACCACGAGACATGTTGTATGTATTTGGTATGTACAGCATGCTTTTGTTACATGAAGCCACACAGCTGTAAGACTAGATGACACCTGAGAGGAATTATGGAACAGCTATGCGATGATGATACAACAGTGGAGGTAAAAACAACTGACACATTATTGACAGCAGCACACTCAGCTCCAGTGAGCCATCTCTAGTGAATGAGAGCTTTGTAGCCTACTGTTATTACATGGGAAAGCTTTCATCTGCATGAGCAAAAAAAAACACAGATGTTCCCACGTTGACATGCAGGAGTATTTATCTGCAGTGGCTGACGTAAGAAACAATAAAAATAAGAAAACACATTCTTAAAACAAATGGATTGTCCACCACAGGCACCAACAAGTATCAGCCTTTTTTGACCTCTGTGGTTCACTGCAGAGATCAAAAGCACAGTGATGAAGAGGAAGAGGAGAATGAGGGTCAGTGGAGAGGTTCTCTGTCGGAAACTCATTAGTTGCAAGAGCCCAGTGTGCGAGGGAATTGTTCCCATCTTCCTTCAGCAGTAAGAAATGTTAGCAGTCAGCAGTCATTTAACTTTTCACAGCATCTTAAAGATCCTAAAGATCACTTCAGATGCATTTGCATGGTGAGCAATCTTTGTTGGACGTCGGACCTGAACAGTATTTGATCTTAAATAGTGACCTTTTCTCTGAGGTTGTACCTGAAAATATAGACTTGTCAAATGTAAAAAAAAAAAAAAAATTTAAAATTGGTAATTGGTGCTACGGATAGCGGCAATATAAACACATGAAAGGAATTAAAACAGGTAACTACAATGGTAATAACTGTGCACTCAGTGCCCCTTTGCCCAATTGTACATCAGTAACTTTGTACGCATATTTCTCGCTTCAGACGATCAATGTGTGATTCTGGGTTTGGCATGTTCAGGTCTCTAATGGAGGCTTGTTGATGGAGAAGCATTGCTAAGTGCATGTAGCCACAAAGCCCCAGAACCAGCTAGAAGTGTGTGTGTGTGTGTGTGTGTGTGTGTGTGTGTGTGTGTGTGTGTGTGTGTGTGTGTGTGTGTGTGTGTGTGTGTGTGTGTGTGTGTGTGTGTGTGTGTGTGTGTGTGTGTGTGTGTGTGTGTGTGTGTGTGTGTGTGTGTGTGTGTGTGTGTGTGTGTGTGTGTGTGTGTGTGTGTGTGTGTGTGTGTGTGTGTGGTATGAATGCATTTACTGGTGGATGGAATTACAGTCAAGCCACCACTCCAGCGGTTACTGTCTGGGGAAAAAAAGGAATGGATTCTACATTTGGGCTCGGACAGATCAGTTTCAAGGGCCTGTTAGGTTTGACAGTGTTTGTTTAGGAAAAGTCCATGCTAGGGTAGGAAGAACAGATTATTTCGGTAGTAGGGAATTCTTTTTACAAAACTGGAAAAAATGTAAGGGCTGGTTTTGGAAGCAGAAAGCGTTGACGTGGCTGCTGTTTGTTTGCCTCCTTTTATGAGTGGTGTCTTTTAGGGTAATAGAAGGGGGAGTAGGCTGCAGCTTCCAGGGGTATTGTGTGTGCTGGTGTGTACAGTATATGTGTGTCTTATTATCTGAGTTTGTTAGTGTGTGTTGTGCGCATGGCCACCTGTGTGAGACACAGAGGTGCACAGTCATTCTTTTATTTACACTTTCAATCAGGTTCAATTTTCTACATCCCCTTTCCTGCTTGGTGAGGCTGCCCTCACATTCACCTGGTTCAACCACACTGTCCCTTGCATTCACCGCCATAAATCTTGGAGAGTTAACCTGGATGTGGAAGAAAATGGCAAATACGGCTCCAGCAATCTGCCGTGAGAGTGAGTCAGCTAGTGTGCTAGACCTACGACCAGGCGTGCTTCAGGCCTTGGCAGCTTACTGCAACTATTAATACAGACTTTAATTAGCCCGCCACAAACACTGGCACAATCGGCTCAGTGTCGCCTGTGGCTTGCAAGGCAGACAGATCAATAGGTCTGATCATGCCTTTTTCATCAGCTCAAATGAAAGCACTTTGTCTCCAAGCCCAGCACTGGACTTTGCGTATCACCTTAAAGGCTTTCTGTGACTGCACTGGCTGTGTGCAGTGTTGCGGACGGGGCCTGTATAATCTGGCTGCATTAGGGAACTATAAAGATAAATGAAGGGAAGCACAGAGCATAACTCATCCTGTCACATAAGGGGGTTTAGGGCTGGGAAACTTTGTGTTTTCTAAAGCAGCCCCTACCACCCCCACCTCCTTTGCTCCCTAGTTTTGCACTTGCTCTTCCTTCTACTTGCTTACTATTTTTTTGTGTACAATCTCGGCTGTATTTCTCTCAATCTGCTTTCTGTATTTTCCTCCTCCCCTCCTCTCTCCACCCCCCGCCTTTCTCCCCATCCTCTTTTACTGATCAAGAGGCATGGAAGAGTTCATTTGCACTTCCTCTGCTGTGCAAAATTGCTCTTCTACCTCTTTGCCAAAGCATTTCAGTTTGAAATAAAAGAGTAGCCTGCTTTCGCTGTAAAAACGTGTTTCATGTGCTTTTTGGCAGGCTTTCCCGTTGACCATCAAGTTCCCAATCAGTGCAGCAGAAACATGTAAATAGCTTGTTCTGAGTCCTTATGTCCTGTGAATTGCTGTAATTGTGTTGTTTCTGCTCACAGGGTTTCTGAATCACAGAAATGCTGCCTTTCTTACAAACTACCATTCCTTTCCTTCCTTTTACAATATTTATTTGTACCTCACTCTCACTTTTCCCCTTCCCTTCTTCTATTTCTTTTTTTCAGTAGATGATGTCCCACCTTATTTTAAGATGGAGCCTCCTCAGACCCAGGTTCACCTGGAGGGGAACCGTCTGGTCCTTACCTGCATGGCAGAGGGCAGCTGGCCCCTGGAATTCAAATGGATCTACAATGGGACTGAGCTCACACGTTTCTCCTTGGAATACAGGTGGGGAATGCAAACTTGCTTGCCCAAGCTGATTCTATCATTTATTTAGCATACTATAATTAGCTTACTACATGTAACATTTTAGTGGGCATTTAATTGTAACTAATAGCTTGATTGCTCATTTTCATTCATATTCAAGACTCATTTCTATGGATTTATTCAAGACTGATTTGGCTGCATGTCTCCCCTGGGACATAACATATTGTTCAGGGGATTGTCAGATTTATTCCGATTTGTATCTCAGAGTGTATTCAACATGCAGAGATGGTGTGAGCAGATAACTCTTCTTTTCTCTCTTGCGGCTTGTTGAAACTATCATTGCTGAAACAAAATCTAACAATGCATATTCTTCATCAGATTGTGCAGTGTGGGGGGGCTACTTTGCTCTGTCAGCAGAACAATGCTGTTTCACTGACCGTGGAGTTCTTCTGGGCACTTTTGTATTACCCTTATATTTCAGCCTCTAAACACATGGCTTAAGAATTCTACTAACAGCACAAAGTGTCCAGACAAAGCTATAGCCTGAGCTAACAAGGCCTTTCTTACCCTTTTCCACTGAAATGAGTTTCGTTCAAGTTCAGTGCTGGGGCTAGTTTGGTTTGCAGTTGGTACAACCATTTAAGAACCAGCGCGCAGTTCCTCGGACCAGAGCCACAGAGGAGCCACATCATGACCTCACTGCTTACGTGGCAGCCATAGACTGGTGGCAGCGTGAAGATCCCTCACAACAACAACAACAACAACAACAACAACAACAACAACAGTTGCAGACTACATTGGAGCTGTGCCCATGTTGCTATTAAAGTTCCAAAGTCAGATGGATTGCAAGCACAACCTCCTCGACTGTATACTCTTCTCCAGAGTAACGTGGCCAATAGTGTGCCAATAGGGTTCAGTAGCATTGGCCAACTGCGGAGTGTTAGACCGATACTGCTACACCTTTGATAGCTTGCCAGTTCTTAAAGCTAGTACTGTCCCCTGATGCATATTTCCCTATAAATGTATATTTGACCATGTTTGGCAACATACTGCAGAAAAAAGAAATAGGAAATAGTATGAATTGTGTATGAGGATCTCTCTTACTCATTACATGGATTATGTTAGCCTAGCCACTGAAGCCATTTTGACAAATCATTATAAGATTAAGAGCCAACATACTAATAAGTACTTTTATTTTTATTTTTATTTCTGTTATGTTTAATGGAGGTATCCAAGCACACATTATATAAAACTCCAAGTCGTGGAACAACAACCGGGCAGACATACAGCATATTAATTATGCATCATAAATACTTTGAATAAGTGCTTTGTTGCTACCACAATGATAGCAGGCATGTTTTTTTGCAAAGTATGGTCTGTAATAAATAATACGTCTCGCGCATGCCTGGTTAATGTTCCTCGGCATTTGTGTGTGTGTTTGCGTTCTAGCCACTTTGGGATCTCTGCACTACTGCTTCTGCAACAATTCTCTACTGTTCCCAGAAACCGTTGTTGCTCCACTGTAGCCTCTGACGTGTGGCAGGCTCTTTGTGGCTCTCGGTTCTCAGTGCTGGCCAAGCAAATATGCCCAATGGTGCCCAAGTTGAACCCGTTTTCAGGGCCAAGAGCAGGTGTCTCTGCAGTTAAAACACTATAAACTGTTTCGCAGCCGGGCACTGGCTACAAACCAACCCTGGAAACGCCTTGGTGGTAAATGTGTGTGTACTGTATGTGGGAATACATCAGTGTTCCCATTTGTCCATTTACGGTATGCCTGTGTGCCAGTGTGGCAGCCTGCATGCATGTTCAGAAGTCACAGTTGCAGTCTGAGGTGAAAGTCAGTTTCTTTCTAATTCTAGACTTGTTTCTTTCACGCTCTACTCACAGTCTGTCTAGCCCCCTAGACATGGACAGACTCTCTCAGGTGGCATTGTCTGATTGCTATCACTAGCTACACCACTCCCCAAACCCCACCACTAGCACACACTTTCCCACCCCTGTATGTCTCTCTCCCTCTCTCACATCCTTTCTCCCCTCTTCTCCACCTCCTCTTCTTTCCTTGACTTTCTTCAGTATTTGGCTGTGCTCTCACGTGGCTTAGTCTCAGGGTCTGCTTTGCAGGCCAGCCCTCTGCTTGTTATTCTTCACCAGCCCTGATCAAAGAGGAGAACTGGAATCCATTTAATCAGACTAGACCCATCCACCCCTTCCCCGAATTGCAGTGCAGGGGGAACATGGCAGGGGTGGATTCCTCACTCCTAAGTGGCTGTAGCAAACCAATTAAAGGGGACTCAGCTCTGGGGTTATCTACCTAGCATTTCACACACACCATTTAACATGAATGCACATCAGGGGACAGACACTGTTATGGCCGCACAGGACTAACAGGTGTGAGTTGCTTGTGTGATTTGATTAAACCCACGGAAGATACAGGATAACTAAAATGGCTCTCAGAAAAAACCTCCACCAAGGAAATGCTGCCTTCACGTGCTCCTCGGATGGCCGCATTTCCCCACTTGAGAAGACGTTTTTCAGACTTTGGTTTGTTTAAGACAAAATAAAAGGTGTTGTATTGTATTGCTCAGTGCCTTTTTAAAAACAAGTTGAAAGCTGTTTCCTGGAATTTTAGGGAAATTATTTTTCTGATTATTCCAACACTAAATGAATGCAGCACAAATACTGAAATGCTAACAAATGTAAATGTCAATGCCCCTTGAATGGAATCCGGTTTCAAAAGGTAGGTATCCTTGAACCATGCTAAACCCGTCTACCTAGTTTAATAAACAATCTGGCCAGTAGTTTTTTTCTATAATCCCACTGACAGCCAGAAAAACAAACAGACAGAAAACCTCCTTGACGGAGATAAGAATGTTTTTTCTTTAGTCCTGCCAGCAAGGAACTCTATGCTGTTTTTCTCCACAGCTGGCCTTAAGAAGAAGAATGTTTTTCTTTGGACCTATGTCCGTCTCTACATTATCACTGAATCACACTTCATCTCTGCTCTGTTATATTCCTGAATTTAGAAACATTTATGTCTCATATATAAGTGGGACCTTAAATGCAATTCAAGCTGTGTTTCAGGTGCCCAATGAAACATCTCGATTAATTTAGCATCTTGAGTGTGAGGGATAAAAGCGAAAAGATGACAAATGCTGCTGCCTGTCATTCTGATGATGACTAATGGATCTTTGTGTTGTGTAAACCCATTAGGTACCTGATGCCCTCGCTGGACCGGTCGCATGCTGGCCACTACCGCTGCATTGTGAGGAATCGAGTGGGAGCTATAATGCAGTGCAATACTGAAGTGCAGGTTGCCTGTAAGTGTTGGTTTATTTCCATACATCCAATAGTGTAAGAGGAGGACACCGTTTTTATTAAAGGGTTGTCAGGCACAGTATGTGGATGAGTCACTGAGTAAAGAAGCTTATTTTTTGAGAAGGTACATAATGTGATAATTATGACAATCTTTTTTTTCCCTTCTGCTGGATTCCTTTCTAAAATGTTCTCTTCTTGTTTTAATTCTCCACTTCTTACACTGTATTCTTTATGCCTGCTAGATATTGGTGGTTTTGTGGAAATGGAGAGGTCTCAAACTGTATCTCAGGGTGAGGGCGCTCTCATCCACTCACCGCGAATACACAGCTTCCCCAGGCCACAGATCACGTGGTTCAGAGATGGGCGTAAGATTCCCTCCAGCAGCCGAATGTAAGTCTACTTTGGTTAGTTTGGTTTGATCTGAGTGTGTGCAATTGACTCTTTTGTGTGTTTCTCTTGTTGTCTCTGCTTGTGTCTGAGCAATAGCATATATATATATATATATATATATTAGTTGTCGATGAACGTGAGCTGCTGTTGAAGCAGAACATATTTCACTTCAGAGAATTCCAAGAAGTTCAATACCGCTCACAGATTTTCTCCAATACCACCAGCTCCATGAGTGAAGTTTAACAGAGAAGTTGATGAACAAATGTTGGCGCGGGCCCAGTGTTCATCATTGAATCACCTCTCAATGATAAAGTGGGTTATTATATCGCCCCTATTGACTTTGCAGGCGGAATGATTGAAGGGAAGAGATAGAGAAGGCAGCAGGGGAACCAATTAGACTAAATTGGACAAAAGGCCTCAATTGATGATATGTTTGACTGACAGCTCTCACCCCTGGGTGGATGTGTGTGTAGGAGGGTTTGTGTGTGCATGTTTGTGGGAAGAGATTGTGTGAGGCTAAATGTGCACAGTGGGAGACTGTATATTTGTATGGGCTTTTCTGCGAGCCTCATTGTGTGTAGTAGCATTTCTTTCTGCTCACTGGATTCTTGCCTGTTCAAATGAGAAATTTCCCCTGAAGAGACATTGTGAAGCATGAAACCTGAAATTAATTTTGATATTCAGACAAATAGAGGTAGGCACTCCACAACTTCTCAAAAAACTATCTTCTCATGCATTATTCAGCAGCTTAGCTCTACCATGCCATAGCTGACATGAAGACTTTCACCCTGAGTTTAATGCTCCTGCTTCAAGAACGGATCGGCGCGTGTTACCTCTGCCTGCAAGGCCAACAAAAAAGGTAGCACAAGCACAGAATAAAAACCTCAATCCCTTCTGTTAATGATTCTGCCCATTCCACAGCCAGTAACTATGCAGCTGACTCTTATCAGAAGTGAAGCGGTGAATCTTTGCTCTGTGACAATGAGAGCCACTGACAGGACACTTTGCATTTACCGCTTGTGTGCCTGCTTTGTGTCAGGCCACATTGATATTCACAGGCGTGTGTGTATGTTGTTGTTTGTGTGTCGGTGCAAGTGTCTATTGACTCTGTGAGCGTCACAGCTCTTAATTGTCCAGGAGTGTGTCTGTTTATCCTGCAGCGATCAGGCAGATGCTGACAGATACGAAGAGCCTAATTTGGCCGTGTGCTTACCGTCAGCTCTCATTTAATGGGCCCCTCTCAAACATTTTGAGCCTAACCAACATTTAGCCATACTCGAGAAGGATCTTAAATGAATAGCTCGGTATTTTTTCAAGCTAATTGCGAGTGTGTAGTTTTTACAATTATCACAAATGTCAAGTCAATCTTGAGCCTAGAATACACTCCTCTGATCAGGCAAGCCAACATGATGCTCACACATTATATCAACTTTACATAATTTACAAGATATAGCTGTGTTTATTGCTAGATCATTGACTTTATGTGCTTACCCTTTTAGCATCTGTCTGTTGCAATTATTCATCTCATTATACACTGGGGTAGGTTGTACACAGATTGGCTTTGACTGTGGCTTTTAGACTTCAAATATGTTGACATCTAAGTTCAAAGCTCATGAAAGACTTATTATTCTATCTAGATATATTAATTTATTTTCAAGACTCGCCTCAATTAGTTTTACTTTCTTTTACTTGTTGTATTTATACCCGAAAACTGTGAGTTTCAAATAAGGAAAAAGATCCAGAACGATTCATTTAAGACACTGCAGTACCTTGAAAATGAAAGTGCTCATAAAAGTTGTTTTTCTGTGCTTCTTTGCAGACATAATTTATGAGTAAGGGTATGTGTGTGTTTCTGTGTGTGTTTCTGTGTGCGTCAGTTTACCCTCAAGATTTATTGACTGCGTGAAACAACTACTCACTGGTTTAATGATAAGAGCGTGTGTGTGTGCTTGTCATATGTGTGAGCGTGTGTGTGTGTGTTGTTTTGCGTAGAACACATCTGTAACGCACACCCGTTGTCTGGGGATGTCTGATTAATAGGGAGCTGGATTGGTGACCCCATTTTGATTGAACTACTTTCAATGCTACCTAAAGTCGTTTGTGTCTTTATTACTGTGAAGCTGAGTTTAAGTGAGTTTCATGGGAATAAATGTAAGGCAATGCAATGTCTATAAAAGGTATCTTGAACTGGTGTGTGCATGAATATTTACTCATACAGTGCCATCACCCTGGACAACACGCTGGTCATCCTGTCCACTGTGGCCCCTGATGCGGGACGCTACTACGCCCAGGCGGTCAACGACAAGAATGGGGAGAACAAAACCAGTCAGCCCATCATGCTGACAGTGGAGAGTGAGTACACATACAGATCCATGTGCGACATAAAAAGGTTTTCTCCCACCCAACAAAACACACCGCACTAGCGGGTCATTAGATCATGTAGAATAAGGCATTAATAAGCGTTTTATAATGACCAATAAAGAGCCAATATACTGCTAATATGCATGTTGATTAACAACTAGTTGATGGTTAATTTGTCTACCTTAATATAAAGTGTTACCAAAAAGTTTTGTTCATCATATTATTTTTTAGCTCAACATCTGTTTATTGAACAGCAGAGATGGCAAAAGTACACACATCCTTTACTCAAGTAGAAGTACAGATACTCATGTTTAAAAATACTCTGGTAAAAGTACTGACTAAAGTTCTTTACTCAAGTAAAAGTAAAGAAGTATGGGCTTTGAAATGTACTTAAAAAAGTACCCATAACTACCAATTGTTTTAAGAGTAACTGACCTCCCTTTATATTAATGGAACAATAATGTCATTGTTAGCTAATGAATGTTTCGATGCTGAACAACGGCAACATGACAACGTTTTCATTGGTCCCTCTTCTTTAGAGAAGACCAGGAAATTATGGATACACGGATCGTGTTAAAATCAAAAGGCACGCAATGACTCTAAATAATAATGATCACGCCACCAAACACAGATTAAAACTAAANCAGTCCAACAAGGGATGGTCGTCTTTGGGATAAATTCTCCACTTTTTCCATATTTCTTCAAATGTGTTTTCCTGAAGCCTCATTGAGAAGGTGATTATTTCCATAACATAGATTTCATGGATTTTGTCGTACCAGTTGTCAAGAGAAGGGATATCCACTTTGAGCCATTTTCTAGTTATTGCTTTTTTTTTGCTGCAACAGTAAGAAGGGTATCTGAGTTTTCACACATGTCAAGACACATTTTGTTCATTTTCAATAGGAGTTACTTTCCTGTTTGCTTCAAACTGTCAAGCCATTTGGGTAAATTTCACTCGCGACAAAAGTAAATTTTGGCAAGTACAACAGGGAAATTCAAGTCTGCAGCAGGCAATCTGATACAGGAAACAAATCCTGTCGTGCTAGCTGACAATACACTGAAATACTATGAGATTAAAAATGGGAGGGATTTCATTGTTCATTGTTCTTTGTCAGATCAAGAATAACATTATGTTTTGTGTCTGTAAAAACAGGTACTGTGGCAAACAGTTCAGATAAATCCAAGAAAAGAAAGAAAGCGTATTGCTATTTTAGCAAATGAGTAACTAAAAGTCAACAATAGTGCACAATCATTCTGCGACCTTGAAAGGGAGCTGTGAGAATGTTGCCTGCTGAACCAACCCAGATCAAGCTAAGAGTCAGGATTTCGGCACAATTCTGCATATAATTCACAAAAGCTTGTGTTGGCTCACTTCCCAGTGCCCTGTGGCGCAGGGAGCCAAAATTCCTGCGTGTGTTTTTAAAGTTCTCAGCACTTTGTAGCCCTCGCCAATGTCACAGCCTTCAAGGGGGCGGAAAAGACAAGAGAAATGTATACTGTAAACCATTTTTGTGCTGAAGCCGCAGAGGAGGGACTCTCACTGGCTGGTAAACACAGACAAATTTGTGCAGTTGCTGCCAAAAAACTAATCTACATGTGTCCCCCGCACTCTATATTCATTGCTCCTCCGCTGTCATTAGGCTTCCACCCTCGTGGCTTGTCCTGGATAAAGGGGCCAAGAAGAAGCTGATCTCTTATGCTATATCTCACAGGAACAAACTAAACTCTTAGTTTTTGGTGAGTGGGTCTTGCTTTCTGTAACCTTATTCCAGTTATGTGTAACACAGTGACTCAAAAATAAAGTACTCATTATCTTTCCTTTTGTCGGCACACTTTGTGACTAAAGAAGAAAACCAACCTTGTAGCAGCATATACAATATGGTTAAATGCTGAGAAGGAGTATCATTGTGCAGACGACAGAGTTAGACAGACAGTGGAAAGGCAGAGGCTTTGAACGATATAAAGAGCTGTGATCTGACACTTGGTGTTGGCATCAGGGCTTAGCTGCATGAAAAATTGCATTTGCTTTTTGAACAATCAATGTAATCTCCTCAACCGCATCTGGATTTATTGCGGCTCACCTGCTTGCTGAGTGCGCCCTCTGGTGGGCAGGGAGCGGGGCCCATCCCCTGCAGCATTGAAAGCTGCCACACTGATCATGTAGGTGGTGTAACCTGTCAGGTTTTTAAGCTTCACCCCGAGCTCCGGCAGGAACAGCGTACGCAGGCGCTCCGTCTCATTCTGAAGCTGAAACTCCCAGAAATAGATCTACAAACAAAAAGAAGAATTCAGAATTTTTCGGGGAAAATATAAAAAATGAAACAGGCATGATGTAACTTTGGCTGATTTTGCAGTAAAACAGGAGAAAAAGACAAGTTATCGATACCTTGTAACCCTGTATGTCCCCATTCTGAGCATCCAGAGGAGGAGGGTCCCATGTGACATCCAGCTGTGTGGCTGTTGAGGACTGGATCACCACATTTTGGGGAGGGGATGTTGGGACTAGAATGGAGCAAAGTGTAAAACATATTCATTTGATATGTTCTATGACTTGGTTCAAGAAATACAGATTAAAAGTTAATTAGCACACACGGCGAGAGATGAAACATACCGGCCTCTCCAACAAACACTTCTTGCGGTGAACTGCTGGGACCCTCCCCCACAGCGTTATACACACTGAGACGGATCTCGTAGCGCTTGTGTTTACTCAGATCTGAAAGAAAAACGAACCCATTGCAGCTTTTTAATGTAAGAGTTAACATAAAATAATAAAAAAAGAAGTTACTCTAGAGAGAGACAGTCTTAGTGAAGCCCGTGGCAAGACAACATCTCAAATTCCCCCAAAAAGGGGGGGTTTGTACGGCAACGTGTTATAAAGATGGGGTTGTTGTGGGGACAAATGGAAAACATGTCATCAAATTAAAAGAAAGAAAACACACTGATATAATGATAGGGCATCTTGGAGAGGATCAGCAGCCGCCCCTTAGCGGATACAGCTGAGTGGGAGTACGGGAAAAAAAGGCAGTTGCTGTAAATTATTATACAAATGACACATTTTTATGTACGAGATGACACACAAGCAGATGGAAGAAATACACAAAGGGAGAAACAAGACTTACTATCCAGTTCATATTGGGTGAGCGAGGATTCACTTAAGTTCCTGATGCTGTAAGGAGCTAGAGTTTGGATAGAGGATGGGAGTTTTTGAGAAAAACGAGGTTGGATCACAGGATTGGGTAGCAATATTATATGACTTATAGGGCCTACGTCTAAACACACCACAGGCCTGAATGATAACATCAAATCAATACTTGGATGTAATATTAAGTGCATTTGAGACTCCAGGTAGCACAACTTTTAGTATATAAGCAGCAGTAATCGATGGATAAGCAGGGAAGAAGTGAACTCACCAGCGAGATCAGCCCATTTGGCAGAAGGACTGTTAACAGTGCGGACAGTGAAGCTGCGTATCCGGTCATAGTGTAACTCCCGGAACCTGACTCTGAAGCCCAACAGGACTCCGTTTATATGATCCTCAGTAGGAGGCTGCAAAGAGAAGAGGTCTGCTTAGTAACCAAAACGTTCAAACATTGATCCATTCTCAAAACACAGTGCCAAGTAATTCAACTGCATACCTGCCAACGAACAAGTACGGACGTGGTGGTGTGAGGTGTAACAGACAGGATCGTTGGGGGTTTATCTGGGGCTACAAAAAAAATAAGGGTGGGAAAAAAAGAGAATTTGTGTTGGCAAATCAACACAGCTGAGCAGAGTGATATATAATTCAAACAGTCTGCTGGAGAACAGCTTGAGAGTAAACACACGCAGTGTTGACGTAAAGCATTTTCTGTGAAAATCCAAAGTCAAAACACTGATGTAAAGTCATGTTCATACAAATATAAAAGTGTTTTTGCACAACCGAACAGAAAGTCGAAAACTAATGAATGTGCTGCATGATCGGGCCAGTCTTCAGATCTTACCATCCTGTAGTGTAGTGATGGCCTCACTCTCCTGGCTGTATTCACTGTCTCCAATGTCATTGGTGGCTTTCACACGGAACTGGTATGAAGTGAAAGGCTTTAACCTTAAGAGAAAGAAAAAGAGTGGTATGTGTGCATCATGTACAGCGTGTTCTGCCTTACTCATTCTTTTTTCTGACTGAGAAATAAAAATGGCTGATGCTGAGGGGGAATATAAGTGGACTAACCTGTCCACTATGTATGAGTTTGTCTCGTGGCTGACTGATGCAGAGTGGACAGTCCAGTTGCTGTCGGGCAGCTCTCTGTACTGAACTGTGTAGTAGCGAACCGGGGAAAGTCCGTCGCTGCCAGGTTCCCATGACAACAGTACTCTGCGAGCCTGCACTTCCTCTTGAGGCACTACGGGACGGCTTGTGGGTTGGGGTCGTGCTGAAGGGCACACACACACGCACATTCATGATCACTTTAAAACTTAAAGGGATAGTGAGTTACTTATTCATAGTCAATTTCTAAAACTGGCTGACTGCCATCTACTGTAGTAATGCACAGACTCTAGATAAGTTATTTATACTACCCCAAGTCAAACAATCCTTCATATTTAGAGGCGATTCATTCAAATAGCTTTAGTATTTTTCACATACCTCTCTTCTCTGTTGTGACCACCAGAGCTTCAGCGGCCTCACCCCAACCCTTTCGTGTTTGAGCGGTGAGACGGTATACATAAACTGCTTCTGGTTTCAGTCCGGACGCTGTGTACTGCCGCGCACTGGGGCTCAGCACGTCTACTGTGGCAGCACTGCTACTCGAAGAGTTTCTTCTGTATGTGATCTGATAGGCTGAAGGACGAAATCATATCAATATAAAGTCATGCAGGAAGGATAATTGAGCAAATAAAACAAATTGGCAGCACAGAAATGGAATAGCAGACAAGCAAAATAGCTTCCCTCTAAGCTCATATGTGAAAGTCTGTGTGCTGCAGACTCACCCAGGATAATGCCGTTGGGCTGTGCAGGAGGCTGCCAGATGAGCCTGACTGAGGAGGTTCTGACTTCTGGGAAGAGAATGCCAACTGGAGGGCCAGGGACTATCACACGCAACATTACCCAAATGACAAATCAGGCAAGAGTATTAGATGTGACGATTCTACTGATTAAATAAGTAAGTTAAAGGAAAATCATCAAGTCCTATTACATTTGTGATTTAGGCTACATTTAAATACAATATTCATTATGTGATTAGCAAATCATGAAATTATAAGCAGAGTGATACATTAGTCTTTTTGTTTTTGTTACCAACAAGATCAAATAGGGTGGTTGTGTTTACCATCATCCAGGGTCCGTTCTAAGATGTATGGCGAGCTGCTCCTTCCGTCTCCTATCCGTGTGAAGGCTAGCACCTGGATCTCAAACAGGACGTATTTTCCCAGGGTGCTCAGCTGGACACTGTGAGTGGTGTTGCCCTCCACCTCCCAGAAATTGGGAGCTGTGTCTGAGTCCTTCTCCTTATATACCACCTGAAATACACAGGGAGTTTCAGACAGTTAGAGGATTTATTCAGGTGATGAGGAACAGGAAGATATTTTTTTACTCTAGTTCCAACTTAACTTTGCTAAATATTGTTGCTCTGATTACATATTGGTCTGAAATATAATTCAGATGAATGCTGTTGATCGCTGACCTTGTACCCCAGAATGAGTCCATTACGGTCTGTCTCTGGGACTTCCCCCCACCGCACCAGGATGCTGCTGGAGGTGATGGCGAAAGCTGAAACGTTGGTGGGGCCACTGGAGGGTACTACAGTCAAAGGTAAAGGACAAAGCTTAGCACAGATCAAGCACATGTGCTCGTATGTGTGTGTCATGTGTAAGCATATATTTCCTTCCTCACCAGACTCCCGCGTCCTGCCGTGGACTGGCTGGCTCCAGGGCCCAGAGCCGATACCATTGATGGACTGAACTCTGACCTCGTACTCCATCCACTCCTCCAGGTCCTCGATAGTGAACTCCCTCTCCAGCCGGTCCATGATGACATGGGAGAGAACTCCCCCTTTAGACCCGGCTTTAGAGTACTGGACCCGGTAGCCAACGAGATCTGGATTCCCATTGTACTCCCACTCCGGAAGAGGCTAGGAGGATTTTTTTTGTGTCTTTATTCCCACAATTCAAGCAAGACCGTTGTAAATGAAATCATAACTGACTGCATAATGAAGCAGTAAGTCGTGAGAGGCCGTACTTCACACTTATTTTACAACAGCTAATAGCCGTTGTCAGGAATGATGAGAAGTAATATAGAAAGAGAAGCTAAACCTTCTTGGCACTTACTGCACTTAGTGGTTTAAAAAATATAGTAATAATCCATTGTCTTCAAAAAAAGCACATCCTGTTGAATCAATAATAATGTAATTCTAATATACAGCTGGCAATAAAGGTCTTGACAGGTTTGAGTATATCATTAATATTGAATTTATATGTGATTTCAGGGTGTTCATAATCCTTTTAAAAGTCACTCAGCCAGAAGGAGTCTAAAACTAGACCTTCTTGATTTTTATGCAGTATGTGTTGACACATGCACATGATTTAGCAGAAACCAACCTAAATATGCACTGGGGCTATTTATATAAAAGTGATGGTGTTCTTGGAAATAACATGGTCTTTTTTTAAAACTTCCAATAACATGTGGCATACACACTTTAACTAAGATGTTAACACACACACACTCTATAATATGCTCGCAATCATTGAGTTCTGTCATTCTTTTGAAGTGTCATATCACACAGCTGACACCCATCTGCTGTTAAATCCAGGTGACATGCTCTCTTTCTAATTCTTCATGAGCTGCTGGAGCATTTTGCCTCTGTCTCTCACTGCCTGGCGCTGCTCAGGCTCTGGCACAGTGATGATAATGGACAGATGTAGCGAAGAATACATTGGCCAAATGCTGACGCAGGAAGCAGCAATAGTCAAGGACACAGTGCGTGCAGCTTTCCAAAAACACTATTAGTGCCTTTACAGTAAGTGTATTCATCAGATCACAACCCAGAGAGTACAAGAATAGATTGATAGAGGAAGGAAAGCGTTTCTTGCACAAAGAAAACCGTACACAATAGTGAAAACGTGCCAAAATTCAATTGAGATTCTCAGACGAGAGATGCTTGTCAGTCAGATGAGGTAAAGCCAACTGTCAAAGGGAAAGTTTTAACCTAATGTCAAACTTTTTAATATATAAGAAAAACATGTTTTGGAATTTAAATGGGAAAAATGAAATTTCCAAAATCTGATTTGACAAAGCTTATCTTATCAATGTTGTATCCAATTAATATCCCAAGGGCATTTTGTCCATTCAGCCCAACATGATTTCACAGCAACGAGAGAACAAAAAATGATAGACATTTTTCAAATAGCTTTTGTGCATGTAAAGGCATACATAATTGAGCGTAGTCTGAACAGAAACAGTCAAGAAATTCATATATAAATCTAATAATAATCTAATAAAACTCCAGTAACTTCATACAAAGTGCATCAGGCCCACTGAACAATGACTTGTTACAACTTACCACCCAGCGAAGCCACAGGCTGGTCTCACTGGCTGTCCGCAGGGTGACATTAGCGGGGGCGATGTCGGGGGCGGCCTGCAGGGTCTCAATCTTCCTGGAGGGCTGACTGGGAGGACTGATGCCCACAATGTTTACCTGACGCATTCGGAACCTGGGGTAAGAGAAACCAGCTGACGGTGAATAAATCATCTAAAGATTGGTGTTTTATCAAGATTTGCTGGTGATATTGAAAAAAGGATTAGATTTATTTTTTAAAACTGGACTAGACGGAACTTTAAAAATGTCCAAAAGGAAACTTGTGTGTGTGCTCACCTGTAGAACGTATAGGGGTTCAAGTCCAGAACTTCCAGTGATCTAGCATCGGGTTCATTAGTCAGCTGATGAACCATCAGCCATTCTTCATTCTCTCCTATTATGCCAATCTGTAATGCACAGAGAGAAGAGGGTGATATCAGCAGCAGAACTCATTAAAATAATGCAATGGCATCGTATAACATGCGTGGCAACATGAAGACATCAAACTGAAATAACAGACCGCTGTCAATGTGTTAAAATAGATGCAGTACGAATCTCACCTGGGCTTCAACATGCCAACGGGAGATGGAAGTCTTGCCATCATAACCAGGTTTGAACTGTATGGTGACGGAGCGAGGGCCGATGTTTGAGATGGCTAGATTAGTTGGAGGACCGGGCAACTCTGTGGAAGAATAAAGAGGAAACACAGATTAAACTACGTTTCACAGTTTTTAGCCATCGTTGAGTAAAAATCAGTCTCGTCACAGTTAAGTGGTTGAAGCCCTTTAATTGGATACTTGAAGTATAGATGCAATGTCAGCTGAAAGTCAAATAGTTAGTTTAGTCATTTGTCACCTGGTGGTACACCGGAGGAAATGGTGGAGGCAGAGAGCTGGCCCTGGCCCTTGGCGGTCATGGCTGCTACCTGGATGGTGTAAGTGGTGAGGGCAGTGAGCCCTGTCACCTTGTACTCCTGAGTTAGGTTGGGTAAATAATGGGTCACTCGAGTATTGGTCCTGTTGAACTCCTCCCAGGAGATACGGTAGCCTGGAAAAAGAGGCCAATCCCAAAGACTGTTACACAGTGTTCACAGCTCTGTGACATAAAGAGGAAGAAGAAGAAGAAGAGACACGTTTACGTTACATAGTTATCTTTAATGGATACCTGTGAGAACTCCATTTTTCTCCTGAGGCTCCTTCCAGCTGACTTTTAGTGAGGTGTCCAAGATATCAGTGAAACTAAGGTGTCCCACAGCGCCAGGGGCTGTACAAAAAAAAGAAATAAAAACAGGCGGTAAATGAACCGAACAACAGCCTGACTTGCAATTATCTGCAAATACTATATAATGTCCTGAATGGGAAAACTTACTGTCCTCATGGGTGCGTGTGCGCTGAGGTGGGCTGCGCGGGCCGTCTCCAGGGGTAGTGAAGCACAATACCGAGGTGTAGTATTCTGTGTACTTTTTCAGACCAGAGATGTGACCAACATGAACACTGTCCTGGAAGTTGGGACGGGCCGTCATCACACTGACCTCCTTTGAACGAGTGAGTTCCCACGCCAAAAGCTGGAAATGATACGGGACAGGGTGTTAATGTGGCACACGACTGGTGGCATCAAAATGTATGAACCAACTTATAAAGTAAAAAGTCGAATAAATAATGTTGACATATTTGAAGCCTATGATTCATGAAAATATAGAGCTTTCAAACGACGTTATGAGATTTTGCCCACAATGCTCCTCTACCTCTGACCACTAGAGTGCACCAGTTGACAGAAAGGGGCTGCTCACCTTGTATCCCTGGTTGATTCCATTGATAAACTGTGGGCTTGGGGCACTCCAGGTAAAACGCACCGTGGTGGAGTTGACAGCCTCGACTTGTACATTTCCTGGTGGTACGGTGGGCACTGATCCAGAGTAAGAAAGAAAACAGAGAGACATAGAGGGGAGGAATAGATGGGGAAGAAGAGAGAATAGTGATGAGATAGTGAAGGAAAACAATAGGGAAGGAGACCACTTTTTCCAAGAGGAACTTTCAGACTAGCCTGGTTTAAAATGTGAGAATCAGACTAAAGATTTTTTTTATTTTGGCCCTTTGGGGGAAGGTAGAACATGCCAATCAAACAGGGTGTGAGAGCACTTGCTTCAGGCCGCTTCCAGGTGAACCCTGCAGCAGTCTGTTTGAAGTGAGCAAGTGATTCTGATGTAAACCTCAGCGAGTCAATTATTAATGAAGCTGATTGGCCAGTATTGCTCCTCATATCTCCATGCAATAATTTGATTCCCTTCATGTGTATTTAAATGCACATCGTGATCCGCTCTCGAGCCTTTAATGGAGCGAGTGATGGAAACAGCCAATTAATGAGAGCCGAGCAAAACAACATAAGTGCCTTGTTCACTGTCGTTCTTCACTGACGTTGACTTGGATGATGAAATTATTATTTATATATTTCAAAAGGATCGTTTTTTCTGGCTAATACAGTACATTTTGAATGCTGATTCACCAGACTCTAATTGGGAGCAGCTCATTTATTCTAATTTTACTCAGATTGATCAGTCATCACTCAGTCAGAGTATGCAGAAGTTTCCAAAGTTTTAACAATAATGTGTGCCAGGTAAAATCCATAATTTCTAAAGCAATTGAAGTATGCTCTAATCCAAGGCCGAATTTACCATATACATTAGGGGGACACACATCCCCCCCAATATTCAGATACGCTCAAAATGTCCCCCCCCCACCAATATATAGCATAACTGATATAAAAAAATTAAAATTAAATGTTTGGTCCCCTCCAATGTTGACTCCATGGTTACAGCCTTGCTCTAATCATCCAGCGAAAACGAAACTAGCATTCATTGAAGCCATATTTGAACACCCACAAACAAACAAACAAATCTTCCCAGCACATAACATAAATTAACTAGAGTAAACAATTAATACTCTACAACGGCAGCATGTATAGGGATGAACAAATTAAACAGTAAGAAAAGACCAGAGAAAGCAACTCAAAAGCAACGATTTTGCAACACAATTATACTAACAACCTAGACAGAATATGTTTGTGTGTGTTTTAATGAGGGTTGTGGGTTGAGGCCTGCTGCGTTCAAGTAAGTACGAGAAATAATTGATGTTTCTGCTTTTCTGTCTTTCTGTTGCTCATTGTTTTGCCTCTGTAAGGTATGTTAGACTTGCTCATGACAAAAAGCTATTGACATAAATTAACCTGGAAAAGACACAGCATCACAAACAGCTGTTAAACTAATGAAATAAAAATATCTGCCGATTCACTCTCTGTAATAAATGCATCTGAGCAGGGAGTGGAACAGATTTCCCAATTTTCTTATGAGTGCTCTTGAGAATATCTAGTGAGTCTGGGGTAGAGGATCTCTCTCTATGGAGTGGATTTAACATGACAGGAATTCAGAGATATGTGATTGCGTTAAGCCTTTCAAAGCTTTATATACAAGTTAAAGGAATTTAAAATCAAACTGAGAGCCAGCTCAGCTCAACTAAACCAAAAGTGATATCCTCTTCCTTGTGTTTGTTTAAGTCTAGCAGCAGAAATTTGAACTTGAAGTGTAATCTATGAATTGACTTTTTCAGGAAAGACAGTAAAGAGAGCATTATTCAATCTTCTTGTAATGAATGGATTAACCTTCTAACACGCTGATGCATTAACTATAGCCTACTTTGGCTATATTTCTCAAAAAGCCTCAGTTTTACGTGCCAAAGATAATCTTAGATTTGGCTTGATACACGTTACAGTGACAAATGTGACTTTCATCCTCTAAAGATCTTGAATGGGCAGGGGGAGGCGAGGAACATAAGGTGCTAAAATCACTGGGCGCGACGGAAATCTCTAGCAGTATGACACCGGGGAAAGTTCACAATGTGTGTTCTAATTATACTACTCAGCATGAAGAATGAGAAAAGAACTCAACCGAGGCAGCTTACTTTGGCACATCGAAAGGTATGTCACAATCCTGACGCACATCATCACCTGGTAATGTCTGTGCAGAATGAATTAAATGTGTGCTCTTGGAGAGGCCGGCTGACGTCTCCAGGTGGTCAATATGAATGAGTTCTTTTCACACCACTACAAAAAAGGTGATGCAATAAAAAATATCTACAAGATGAAAGGGATCTGAAAATAAAGACTAAAGTAAAAGCTTGGCTTAAATAAAAAAAGGCTCTTTTGAAGCAGAAATGAACATGAATACAGACAAACCAATAAGCAGCGCTGAGGTAAAAAAACATTTCTTTAAAAGCCTTGCTGCTTAAGTCTGTACTGCTGATTGAGACTGATTGAGGATTAGTTAAAACTGCTGTAATCTCCTTGACAATGTGTGAGAATCACCTTTTCAAGGTAACCAAAGGTTGTTTTTAAAGTGTGCTGTGGAGAAAATATGGCCATACTGGTCTTAATTTGATCGTTAAATTCACATGATTGGATTAACCATCAGTCGGAAGTTGTATGCCGCAGGCTTAACATTAGCCAAGGGACTAATATGATGAGGCTGCCAAATGACATTTGTAGGACTAAATAAAGCCTCTGGTACTTATAGCAAATAAGCTGCAGGATTTTTATTTTTAAATGTGTAACCTAATGCTTTCTGCCAGGCCTCCTTTTATGCAGTGAGGTATTATGTGGTACCCTCACCCCCTTGCAGTGTCCATTCAGTGACTCTGTGGCTGTAGGTGCCTCGGCCTGCTCCGTTATAGGCCGCCACCTCAATCTCATAGTTGGTCCAGATGATGAGTTCCTCCAGGAGCAGACTGGTCTGGTCTGAGTTGGTGATGTTTTTCATTTGACAATCCACTGGAAGCCCCGACAAACAATACCTGGTAGCACAAGGAGTAATTGTTAGACAAAGCGGGGAAGGAAAAACAGAAGTATAAATCTATTAGAAAGCAGTTTCTTGGGAAAAGAGCGGGAGGGAGAGTAATTGAGGAGAAGCCAGGCGGAAAAGTTTTAAAATCATTACAAAATGAGAGGTGACAACGAATGAATGGAAGGGAAGGTATTTAATTGGCACCAATTACTCTACTGCAGCGGTGAGCATGAATAAAGCGAAATGGAGAGGAAGAAAAGGAGCTGACATAACAGTTATTATCACATCTGAATAGAACTGGCACTGATGGGCACCTATCTCTGGGAAGAAATAATGCAGGCTGTCATGGTCTTCTTACCTGATGATGTAGCCCTGGAGTGGCCCATTCTGATGGCTCTCCGGGGGGGGCTGCCATTGGATCATGATGGACTGATTGGTGCGACCACTTGCGATGACTGTCTGAGGGGGGGCGCTGGGAGGCTCTTCGGGAAGAGTTAGTCTGCAGCAGCAAAAAGTGAAATATTAAAAGGGAGGTGAAAGAAGAGACAGAGTGAAACCAAGCATTAATTATCATGAGTTTCTGCATATTTCTATCCCATTTCATCATAGGCATCAAATCATAGCAAAGCCCGCTTACTGTATTTTTTTAGGAAAACCTTAAAGAAAGTTGGGATGAGTATGTCTATGTCTTTGTCCAACACATTCTCTATAATACTGTCCGCAGAGGGACATCTTGCTACGGCATGACAAGGATCAAAGAGGCCTTGGTGAAAATGGAGCAGCACAATAGAGAGACAGTGCGAGTGAAAGAAAGATATAAAAGAACAAGAAAGAGAGACTCAGGCAGACTTTTCTCCTAAGCCAATTTAAGATGACATCTTGATTTCTCCCCAGTACACCGGAGAGCTGCTCTGGAGGAGAGGAAGCAGAGTGTTTAGGATCAAAGAGGAGTGCCCAAAAGATGCCTTAGAAAAACCCTCCACCCTCACTGACGTTCAGTCTACCTCCTGCGGTGCACATTTGTCTGGGTACATGCACACAGGACCTCAGCTGTGTGAATGAGGAGTGTGAAGGGTAGTGATGGTTATGAGGGAGAATGCAGTGATTGCTATGAGGGAGAGGGTAGTGATGGTTATGAGGGAGCAATGCAGATATAAAATCAGCAAATTGGTTGTGTTCATGCGTACAAGGTCAGACAGCGGTTTGTTTAGGTGAACCATTATGAGGTATGAATGTGCGTGGGGTGTGCCGGTATGATGATGAACGTTACACTCGAGATTGGAGTCTGTGGGAAGCTCTGCCTCTTTCAAGCCTCTCTGCATTTTACTATGCAGTACAGCACCGACAGTTAATAGGAGGCAGAGCGATGAAGCTGGGTCAGCGCTCCCATCAAGTCTTCACAAAGCGCAATTTCAGCCCATTCATAGTTTTATCTTGAAAAGACACGTCCCCAAGCTGGCTCATCTCTCACTCACTCTTACAGGAGAGAAGACAGAAAATAGTGGACTCAAAAGAAATAACCGTTTTCTATTGAAACGCCATGACGAAGGACGAGAACAAGTTGTTCCAGAACTGTGAAAGTCGTCGAAGTGCAATTTTGTTCTCGCCAGTGTTCACATTACACAGCAACATATTTAATATTCAGTAGATGCAGCTAACCCACCGGTCAGTCTCCTTGCTGAACTGGCCTCTGCCCACGTCGTTGACGGCACACAGGCGGAACTGGTACGAGCGCGCCGGGATGAGACCCCCAACAGTGACCCCGGTAGACTCTGGTTCAATATTAGCCAGCAGCACCATCCAAGGGGCATCTGCGGTGGAGAAAACACGCAAATAAACAAAGCTGTAAGCAACAGCAAACGAGTGGTAAATGACCTTGCTTGGGAACATTCTTGAGAAAAATCTATTCGGCAAATATAAATCATTATTATTCTTAGCTATTACACACCATTGTTTCATTTCCAGTAATAATATTGCAGCTACTGATAAAAACGGAGTCATTTATTTTGTATACACTTCCACTAAATATCAGATTGAAATTAAATGATCCGCAAACCAGATCCCCATCTGCATCCTTGGATTTATTTTCCTCTTAATGAGTTGTCACTTTATGAGTAAGCCTGAGCTTCAATGAGAAATAGCTGAACTATGTACTCTCTATGGGTGAGAGCATTCCGACTCCTTTGATTTTATCAAGAGAGAGGAAGACAAGGGCATTAGGCATCAACATGATTTGGTTCCCCTGATCATTGAGAAGGAAGAGAACAGGTGCGGCAATTGAGTTATTCTGATTGCTCAGGGTAAGAGGATGCGACTGCCAATCTTAGGGACACAATGAAAGCGTAATATATATCAAGAGGGGAAGCAAATAAGTGCTTCAAGGCAGAACAAAGACACAATACTGACTTTAATAAGACAAACAAGACATTTTTGCCTTATTGAAGAGAATCTGAGCCACTCACTGTTCTCTGATACCTCCAGGATGTAGCGGATCAAGGGGCTGTTGCCATCGAAGGCCTGGGCCCATGTGAGGTTTATGGCCCTTTTCTCTGTCGTACTCAGAACTGCTATTGGATTTTCTGGAGCATGGGGCAGTTGCCTGTGTGTGTGTGTGTTTTTGTGCGCGTGTGTGTGTGTGTGTGAGAAAGAGAGAGAGAGAGAGAGAGAGAGGGACGAAGTGATAAAGAGAAATTGAATCAGACAAGAGAGGCAGCAAATAACAGCATTAAACAGCCAAACTGAGAGCATTGCATTGTAAATATTAGAGGGTTTGATGGATTAGAGAGGAGAGCAGCGATAAACCACAACAGTGGGGGAAACATCCATCCATCATGTCCCGGAAGGGCGTAAATAAGCCGGAAAAAATACAGACAGCAAGATAAGACAGGGCAGACATAAGGCAAATATGCAGACCTGACTCTGAGGTGGGCATTGTGGGAGTCATTGCCCCCCACTGAGGTCACCCTGCAGGTGTATGTTCCGATGTCACCCGACCACGTTTGGGAGATGTGCAGGGTCCCGTCGGGATCCTGCCTCAGGCGTGGGGACGTGTTCACGTCAATCAACGAGCCGCTCTTCTCCCACACGTACCTGGAGGTACATTCGTATACAAATATAGGAGTAGTACAGACACACACTCGCACTCTGCGTGTGGTGACAGCAAATCTGTTTGCTTTGCGGAAGTTCATACAGCAAAACACAGAAGGCGCTGACACCGATGAAAAGCCTTGTGAGGCTGATGGGAAAGGGATTTCAATCTTAAAGCCATCTTTCTCTGTCACACATACAGTACAAAAACTCTCCTCCATGCATTTTTTCTCTTGTCATAATCCCAACTGCACATATGCCTCCCAGGCCCATCTTTACACTTTACACATGCACAACCCAGGAGCGCCTGTGATTAATTGCGACTGTTCGGGCTTTCCAGCTAATCTCCTCTGCGTTGCGTTTAATTAAAGGGCGCTGTCTGAAGTTATTACTCTGTTTACATATTCATCTGTTTACCCCGAGATCTGATCAATGCCTCGGGCCCACAGGTGACAAGCACTCTAATCACTGGGCTCTACAGACATCATCTCACTCCCTCTGAGACAGATGCATGTGCACACACTCTATCATGATCAAGAATGTCGGAAGAGTTAGGAGAAGCGATGGTCTAATTCCTCAAAATCTTCCCATAGGAGGTCGTATAAGGCTGGATAAACAGTACAAGATCTCTTGCTGATTTTATAAACTAATTAAGTGCAACGTTAAACCCAAGCTTGCTTTCGAAGCTTGGGTTGCATTAAGTATTAGCTGCTAAAAAATGGTTAGGGTTAAATGTGAGGACATTTGTACATGATTTAAAAAAAAAAAAGACAACACATTTGACAATATTCCCACAAATATTTCAATGTGTGTTATCGTTACCTCACAGTGACACTGGGGTCATGGGTCACACCGCAGGTCATAACAGCCTTGGTCCCTTTGATGACACTCTGGTCTTGTGGTGGTTTATTGATGCGGGTACGTGCTGCAAACACACACCGAGGTTGTTATTCAGAGACTATGTTTGAACAGCAGATTGAACAGAGCTTACTGGACTTGGACTCATCTTTCAGTCAATGTCTTTCTGTAACAGAGTGAATCAAACTATACAACCATTGGGCGAAGTATTTTGCAAGGCTTTGCAAGGACTGATAAAACTAATTTAAGCTCAGAAAACGAGTAAAAGCATGAGTCATTTGACTAAACACTCATAATAGCTTGACAATTACCTCCAGCAACCAGGTACTTACTGCATCTAAGTAAACAAGCAATGGATTAAAAAATTAATTTGCTTCTTGAGATTCAGTTTGTAGTCAGACTTTGCAGTATTTCACATCTGTGCCGGACATGATATGAAATGAGGACACAGGGTTGGCAGAAGATGCAAGCAACTAGAATGATGTGCAGAGAAAGAGAGTATCTTCTTACCCCAGACCAGTAGGTCAGATGAAGCCTCATCTATCCCCCTGGAGTTACTGGCCATGCAGGTGTAGGTCCCGGCGTCAGACAGGTGAGAGGGACTGATTAGCAGGCTGCCTGACTCCAGCAGGGTGAACCGAGGCAGCTGGACAGAGCCACTCGCCAAGACACGTTCACCTGCAGGGAAGGGAGGAAGTGATTGATGGTATGGGATAGAAGACAGGGGAAAAATGGGGGAACAGGGAGAAAGAGAGATTAGGGTATTGGAGAAATGTCAGGGAAAACAAACAGGAGGGAAAGCTGTGCAGCAAGTGTGAGGCAATAAAGCTTGTTTGGAGAAATTGCATATTTTCAATCCTTTCCATGGCTTTCATCTGCTTTGACAAGGCCAAACGAGGCATAATAAACCCACCACCGCAACACCTCATGCTGTTAGCCCACGCACCTTTCTGCCATGTGATGGCTGGCCGTGGGGCTCCTGACGTTTCACAATGCAGAATGACTGACATGCTGTCAATCACGGCGCTGTCAGAGGGGCCAGCGGTGATGTTGGGCGCAATACCTGGGAGGGGAGGGGTCAGCCACGCACAGAAACACAAGGAGGAACACAATCAGGTGAGACAGGGCTGATAATGAGATACATAAACAGCTTTCTCCCTAATAAAGCAGGCTCCAGCTGAGAGCTTAATAGACTTGACAAAAGAAGCGGCTGTCAGGTCTCATTCTCAGGGACAGCACTGAGAATCTGACAAGGCCCCTTCATCTCTCTGCTTCTGCCGCACGTTCTATGATTCAAAAATAGCCAATAATTGCCCGAGCATCCAAGGTGACAAATCTGTCAATGTGAAGAGATATATAGATAGATGGGTGTAGGAGGCAAGACAGAGAGAGAGAGGAGAAAAGAGGATTAGAGATGAGAACAGAGGAGCGGATTTAAGAATAAAAAAAGAGAAGGAACAGAAAGGGGAGGATGAGCAGAATTAGGAAGCAGACGTGCAGATAGCTTTGAAATGTTTTCAAGGGGACCTACTAGTAACAGCGAGGTAGGTGTTTGTCTGGATCTCTCCTGCGCGATTGCGGGCAAAGCACTGAAACATCCCAGTGTCGTCTGGCAGGAGACCGTTGATCTGGAGACTGCCTCCCACCAAGACTCTGTATCTGGGGATCTTTACGGGGCTGATGGGCACTGCATCTTTATACCACACTATGTCTGGCTGCGGCGTGCCTGCAGAGGAAGGAAAGGATTATTTTTCTTCTTTTCTCACTGTGACCCCTTTGAGCTCTTTCTTCTGTTTTTGTTTCATACTTTCTTGCATCTTCACACAGGCACTAGCACACAGATAAACAAACAGCACTGACCTCGTGCCTGGCAGGGGATATCCACCACCTTCTCCATCTCTGCACTGATGTGAGTTGGAGGCTCTTTCACAAACAGAGGATATTCTGTTTCAAAGAAGGAAAAAAAAAGCATAAAACATTGCTGCATTAAAGCCTCTTAAAAACAACTCAACATTTGTCTGGCTTTTTATCTCGACCCTTCTCTGGTGAACAAGCATTATGCAACACTCTGGATGACAACATCAACTGAATGATTGAAGTTTCAAATGGTAAGGAAGTGTTCTCTCAGCATGGGGGTTATCATGGTGATGTAATATTTGGATAATTCCCGCTGCTCTGAGCAAGGTTAACATGTAAGCTTGTTGGTTGTTTACCTAGGACGTGCAGGAAGGCCCCGGCAGTGACTGAGGCGACGCTGCTACTTCGGAGTGACGCCTCACATTCATAGAAGCCGCTATCACTGACTGCAGGCAAGCTGATGACCAATCGACGGCCAAAATCTCGGATCCCTGTACTGACCAACACCCCGTCTTTCCTCCAAGTAATACTCATTTTGACGAGGGGTCTGTAGGAGAATAAAGATGAAAAGGAGAGAAAAAGAGCAAGCGATATTAAAAGCGTAGTTTGGGTTTTTAATACAGATTTATATTCTTTTTCAAGGTTACGGAGCACCGGGGGAGCAATGGGATACATCTGTCATCCTGATTAAGTCTTTGAATTGGAGATAATAGTCAGAATTTAGGAGTGAGATTGTGCGAGATAGGGAGAACAGAGCAAAGCCTTGAATCAAAGGGAAGAATGGAGGACAGCCTGAAAAATGAGAGACGTGCAAAATACTCTTCTATCATGTTCAAACATAAGGTTTCAAGATTCATTTGAATGACAACATATTGGATGTGGAGGTGAGAAATGGCAGAGGGGTTTTGATAATGTGCATCTGTCTGTCTGTCTGTCTGTGTGTATATTTTCCTCAGTACTCTGTGTTAGCACTTACCTTGCATTAGCGACACACTCCATGATAGCCTCGTTTCTCCCCATGGTTACACTGGTGTTCTTGGGGGCGATGATGATAGCGGGGGCGATGGGGTCTGCAGGTCCTCCCTCATCTATCACACAGGCACACAGAAGAAGATAGAAAAACGTGAAAAATCTATAAACCATAAGCAGACCTCAGATTACGCATGTGCATCTGCCTGACACGGCCAACTGAGCATGACTACATACTTACATAGAGAAAAATCTGTCACTACCACCAGCAAGTAGCCGGCATGCCACCGCCTAACTATTAACACCCCTGTCTTTACTTTTAAATCCTCTTTCTAGAGCACACAGCATTTCCTGAGCACAGTGTTAGCCCAGGTGTTAGAAGCCATTATGTAGCATAATTGAGACAAACACAAAAGGCGATTAAATGCAGCACCATCACTCACAGGTTTCACAGAGCCTCCAGCCAACCATCGATTCACTGCCCTCAATCAGTGATCTCTCTCTGAATCTGATCTCATTTTCCCCCACCTCCCCAGAGTACGGGTATGGGGCCTGTGTGCTTGTATGTGTTTGAGTGATTGTACATTTACAGCGGATTTATGGTGTGTGTGTGTGTGTGTGTGTGTGTACAGTACACTCGCATGTTTGTTTTCTTGTGCTCATTCTCCAGGTTAATAGGCCCCCTAATCAAGTTTTTTATTAATCACTATTGCTATTTTGAGCAGCGCCTCATTGTAAACTATACCCTTTCAAGTCCCACTTCTGTGGAATCTCAGCGGTGTAATGACAACGCTTCCTGTACAAACACTGCCTGGATGTAGGCGCAGCCCTCCTGATGCTTATTGCTGTTTGGCTCTGCTCTCCTTTTGATTGCTTCACTCTAGTCTCCATGTGTAGCGTGTGAAATCACGATTCCAGTTGCAGCGCATTTTTCCAAAGCCAGTTAAATAAAGTGAATAGGTTGCTGTGAAAATACAATTTACAATGTGAAATTAGATAGTTTGTTGGGCTCCCATATATTTTAAGTGAAATGCCAAAATCTGTTAAGCTGACGGTTGAATGAATGTCTTGGGTGCAAATGTAGACCTAAGATGCTAATTGTATTTAAAGTAGTTATATAAGCTAACTTTTAACCACCCTACAGCTTCAAAACAAGCAGCTACTGTAGGAAGGAAAATAAGACAAAGTTAAATGAAGCCGTTGTTGCCATTTTAGTGACATATACAACAAAAAAAGGATGAAAGTTTACAAAACTATAGCTAAGACGAACTCACAACATACCTCCATTTTTTTATTTTCAAAATAGGGTTTTGAAATGATAAATATGGACTGCTTGAGTGTGTGTGTGTGTTATTCAAAAGAAAATATTTTGAGGCGGATGATTAACCCATTGATTGATGAGTAAATAGATCAATTGTTGCTACGCTGCAGACGAATGAAAGGATTTAGAATTATAGCATTTCATCACGGCGGTGCAAACATCATCTTGAGGGCATTATTGACGTTATCATTTATTTGCGAAGTGAGGACCAATAAATCCATGTAAAACAGCTTGTTGTCAAGTCATCAGAAGAGTCAGGAATTGAAAAAGATCAAATTAAAAAGGATGCAATGATTGACCAAGTCCAAAGGATTTATGAGGAAAAAAATCACTTGGGTTAGAAGTTATTGGCTAAAATGTAAGATTACTAGCAGTTGGCTGATTTATGTCGTTTTTAATTATTCTTAATTAAAGGACAAGATTATGTGGAAACTTTGATTGGTGTGGGTCTTATGGTCTCTGAGCTCCTGACATATAGTGTTGTAGTGGAGAAGAAATAGACGAGAGAGAGGAGAAGGAGAAGAAGAATCGACTGATGGGGAGAAAAAGGGAAAAATGGTGTCAGCGCTAATGTTCATTTTCTACCAAGAAGAGCAAGAGAAGAAGAATAAGGCACAAGTTGGCAGTCCTTTTGGGGCACCACTGTGAAATAATCTCCTTCAAATAGAGTGCTGACATTAGACTTTAATATCTATTAAACGGTTATCCAATGTGTTAAAAATGTGTGTAAATGTACAAATGAAACCAGTTTGTTAAATTAAGTTAAATACCATAATATTTGGCTGAGAATATGGTCCATATTTGCCAATCACACAATGAAAGCTGGAAATCCATTAGACAAGTCAAATAACTCATTTTATTTTCCGGAAGACGTGATTGGTTTCTTGGCAGAGACTAATTAATGTATTGCAGTTCATAAACTCTCAGTGTTGAGAATACCTCAAGTGTGTAATCTTCTAATTAAAAGGGAAAAGTAAACAACGTGGTGACCCGCATAGCAAGTTCCTGATACTAATGTCCACACATTGTTAACATATGTCTGTGTCCTAAGACAATCTTAAACACCAGTCGACCGTAGAGAATTTCACAGTCTAAAGAAGAAATATGAAAGCAAGAAAGCAAAGCAAAATGTCTGCCCACTTTGAGTGTTAGCCAGTGTCAGTTTGCTTTTAAGACTCATCTCTGTCTCATTGGTATGCTCCCTTTGGAACAACTCGCTCCCTCCGCTGCATATTAGTTTTCTTCACAACTGCAACATGAACAAATGCAACAGTAAAAACCTTATTGACTTTCAGATGCAAAATACGGTTGTGTGAGCCGCAAGGTCAGATTCAGTGATATTCAGTGATATCTGGTCCCCACAGATTGCTGTGTCATGCGTATTGAGCACTGAATTACAAACACTGTATTAACAATATGATGAGCAGATGCTGAAGCGAGCGAGAAGCTGTTATTAAAAATATGCAGCTCCACATGGGAGCAGGTTAAATTCTCATTTGATAGTCAAAACCACATTAAATAACTCATTCAAATCACATGGGATCCTCTGATATCTTTTATCAAATATTTGCGTGTGGTTTGAAATATTACCACAAATATCTTCATAGCCTGCTCGGAAATACATTTTGGTGGCTTCTTAAATTGTCTAGTTGTAGTCAGCCAGTCATTTTGTCTAGTTGAAAGTAAGAAACAGTGGGTGGTAGAATATGAATAACTTTGTTCAGATGAACGAAGGTGAGAGTAGGTGGGAGGATGGGGAAACATCAGGTTCAGCTAAACACTAATGATGTAACTATACACATGCAGGAGCATTGCCAAACTTATTTTGAAGTTGTGTGAGCATGTTTAAGTGACATCGACCTTCTCATCTGAGAGAAGTGTGTGTGTGTGTGTGTGTGTCTTTAATCATTCCCTGTGTGCTCAGTGTCATCTTCATAAATCTGCTTTTTGTGGGGTACGATTAAACTGAAGGTCCACTTTATAGGTCTGTACATCGAGACAGTCAGAGAGGTGCTGCAGGAGCTCCACCTCACACACATCGTGACTGTATTTCACTTCTCAAGACAGAGGTCGGAGGAGGACGACTGTCGAATGAGAGGACGACCATTGTAGGAAATGGGTATGATTATATCTGTTTTTCACAAGGGAGGGAAGTTTTGATTGTCTTTGACTGAGCACCTGTTGTGTAGCTGCTCTGCTTTGGGAAGTAGTGGAGTACAAATACTTTGTTACTGTTTTTTCTGGTTTTCAGTAGTTTACTCCACTACTTGTTTTTCTGACGACTTTTTACTTCTTTCATTTTTAACAAAAATACCTGAGACTTTCTACTTCTAACATTTTCAAAACAGGTTCCTTACTTTAGTTTTAATCTGTGTTTGGTGGCGTGATCATTATTATTTAGAGTCATTGCGTGCCTTTTGATTNATCAAAGTAAAATAAAAACGAAAAAGTACACAGGGGTTGTTTGAAATAGCAAATGTCTACACATGTACATGCATATCAACATACACATATACATTCAATACACATACATTATTGAATGTATATGTGTATGTTGATATGCATGTACATGTGTAGACATTTGCTATTTCAAACAACCCCTGTGTACTTTTTCGTTTTTATTTTACTTTGATTAATTTTGTTTGCTATTTCATTTGTCACTTTCGTGTCTCTAAAAATATATGATTTGAACAACTGTACTTGTACTATAATGTGACCCCAAATAAATAAAGAATAAAAAAAAAGAAAACTCAGATATCCACTAAGGAGGACTGTCAAGAATCAATGACGTAAAGATTCCAAATTCTTCTTGATCTATGACAGTTTATGCACCATTCACATCATTTTAACACTGAAAATGTACAAATATTGTCATTGATATATTCTCTAAAGTGGCATATTCAGCAGTTTGAGAGCTGAGTATGCAGTGTATGCAGTGTTTTGTCTCTGCACCGTGAATTGATCCAACTGTCATCACCTCCCTTTCTACATCAAAAGCACCGAGTGTTCCCAGCTTCATCCACTTCAGTGAGTTGACCACCACTTCGGTCAACGTGTCCTGGGGAGAGCCCAAGCAGGCCAACGGCATCATCGAAGGCTACCGACTGGTTTATGAGCCCTGCACTCCAGTGGATGGTGAGAAACTCTGCCTGTAGCCTAATAACTCTGCTCCGTCTCGACATCCCTCAGCTGGCTTTCTCAGACTGTGATTTACCGTCTCTTGCCTAGTTACCATATTCGTTTTAACTCACGCTGCTTAAGCTCATGCTCTAATCTGTTGCAGGTGAGTGCAGGCCCTGCAGTAACATATAGTATATATATGGCATGGGTGATAAAATAAGTTTGAATGATCTGGTGAGACTATGCACAGCTTCCTCTCTCGCTGAAAGGAACATGGCTAATAGCTGGCTAAGTGTGGTTGCCTGGACCAGATTGTCAAGTAATTGGGAGCAGAGGTGGAATGCTGAACTGAGGCCGCTACGGTCCCTCGGCTATCCGCTAATGGACCCAGAGCAAACCGAACATTGCAGTTAAAACAGGGAATATCAATTGGTCTATTATAAAAAAGGTCCCGGTGTCTCTTCCTATCAGGATATCTAGAAAGCTGCCGGATAATATGCAAATATATGCATGTCTCTGATAGTCTGCGAGTCCGGTGTACAGTTGTGAATGTGTCTGTATGTCTTGTTTGTATGCAAAATGCTATGCTATTTGTCGCTTGTAGAACGCAGTATCTAGAGTCTTAGTGTTTCCTGTACAGACTCCTCTCCTCGCACTCCAGGTGTCAGTAAGATTGTGACAGTAGATGTGAAGGGCAGCGCTCCCTTGTGGATGAAGATCAAAGACCTTGCCGATGGCGTCACGTATAACTATCGCATCCGGGCCAAAACACTCACTTATGGTCCGGAGGTGGAGGCCAACATCACGACTGGACCTGGAGAAGGTGGGACTCTCTAAATATGAGATATTTCTGCCCATAATATGTTTTGAGCACTTGCTTCTCTCTCATGTATCCCATTTTTTTCTAACAATCCACCACTTTTGTCTTCCCAAGGAGCGCCAGGCCCTCCAGGAGAACCCTTTATTTCTCGGTATGGCACCGCCCTCACCTTGCATTGGACCAGTGGGGATCAGGGCCGTGCACCAATCACACGTTATGTCATTGAGGCCAGACCCTCCGGTGAGCCACATACATTAAAAACGGTCTGCTGTTCCAACAGCTCATCTATAGTTCCTTTTTCATATCATTTCTTATCTTGCTTTTAGATGAAGGATTGTGGGATATCCTTATCAAAGACATCCCTAAGGAAGTGACATCCTACACTCTTAACCTGGATATGCTGCGAGAAGGGGTCACCTATGACTTTCGAGTAATTGCAGTCAACGACTATGGCTACGGATCACCCAGTGCCCCCTCCCCCTCTATATCAGGTATTTAAATCAGAACAATAATCCCAAAATGTGTTAACATAACAATACTTGTTGATTGTATACTTATTAATCATTCTTATTATGTATTCAGCCCAGAAAGTGTCTCCGTTCTATGAGGAGTGGTGGTTCTTGGTGGTTATCGCCCTGGTGGGCCTCATCTTCATCCTCCTCCTTGTTTTCATCCTCGTCATCCGAGGCCAGAGTAAAAAATACACGAAAAAAACTGATTCAGGTAGGAAACTCAAGAAAATGTGCTGTTCACGTCTTTGTTTTTCTGTCTGCTTCTTTAATCTAAGCTATTGACTGGAATTTGTCTAACCCTTAGACAGCTCAGCTGAGAATTACATTTTAACGATTGCACATCCATAGTCCATTATAGAAAATGGGACTGAAGGCTCTGACAATTAGATGAATTACCAAGGTTTTCTTAACATTGTTTGGCTGACAGGGGAAAGATGGGAGTAAAGGTTACCGGTAAAACAGCTGACATAGGCAGGTGAATAAACATTATTGTTCATGTTTAACTGCACAAGGATCAATACTGAGATAAATGGCTTGGCAGCGGCCTAATGCTCAGGTCATTAGTCAGACTGAGAGTAATTACATAACTACAGCACTAGGCTCTCCCAACACTGCATCAAGGAGCCAATTTTCATGATTTTGAATTACCCCAGGCGACATTGCTGCTCCTATAAACTCTTTATCAGAGTTCAAACACAAAAACACATTGGGAAAGTTAATCAATTATACAGGTAGTAGACTTATTGTTAACACTTCACATTATGGTTGGTGGCAAATGAATCACAGTGAGGGCATCCGGGGATAATCGGTCACATGCTGCATGAAGCTGCTAGTAATGATGAGGGGTGAGATGGGAAGGCGAGACATTTGGGGGGGAGAGAGAAGGGTCCGGTCAAGCCTTCCTAAAGCCTCGTACCAGAGACGTTTAAGCTCGGTCAGCATTTAGCATGGTGCCAGGGTTACCAAGGTCGGTAAACAGGGCTTGGCGAGACCAGTTCAGACAAGCACCACGTTTGTGCGGGGACACAAAGAGGGCTTCTTAACCCCTAAACCCCTCCCCAATTTTCTCAGCCATGAAGCTCATCTGTTTGTTTTAATAGAGGCCATGACCTGACACTGGGTTAACTGACTGTCAAAAGGCACTATTCAATTGTTTTGTGCATGTTAATGTGGAGGATGTATTGAATACAATGTTAAAACGATGTGCAGTAGTTCAAGCATTACCAATAGTTTATTTGGCTTAATTTTGTACTTAAATAATCTTGAAGAATGATTGTATTTTTGACTGAAGATCACAAATCACTCATTTAACTCCACAACCCACACAGTGTCGTCCTCATACCCCTGTCCAGGCAACCACTCCAACTGCACCGCTCTGCCTCTGACCCACGGAGAGATGGTGCGTCTGGACGAGGGGCGCTTCCCCACCCTGGAGCTCAACAACAGACGCCTCTCTGTGAAGAACTCCTTTTGCCGCAAGAACGGCATCTACACACGGTCAGTTCCACAACTTTAACATGTTGTTAGCTAAGTTTCGCCTGAGTTTTGTCTTCCAATGCAGTCTTACATAAGTGTTATTTATGATACAGGCAGCAATCAATATTGTAGTTATCCCTCACGATAATCTGCCAGTCTAGAAAGAACAAACCGCGCCTCAAGGAGCCCAGCTGCTGATTGAGCCTGCTTCTGCTCCCCTAGTTGACATTCAGTGGTTGTGTGAAGCACACATTTATAAGGGGACAGCACAATAACAGCTAATTAGCATTCATGAGCTTCTGCATTGCTCTTTGTCTGTCCATCACAGCTTTAGACAAAGAGTCCTTATGGGTCAGAGCCGGCCATTTTCTTCTGGCCCCCAGCCCAGAGTTTCTTTCGGATGCAGTGCTGTGAGAGCTGTCTCAACACAAAGTACAACACCGTTTGTATGAGAACATGTCCTTCTACCCGACAGCAGGACTTTGGCAGGCTGTCTCTTTGGTAATGTTTAGGTAAATATTAGATAAGAGGAATTTTCACAAACTCTGCTGCATTGAGGCAAAGTGAATGTGTAGAGACATGGGTAGCACATAATTGGTGACTGGGTGGATGGTCACGTGTTGGGTTGGGGGATGTGGGAGTCCAGAGTCTGCTTCCTTTCAAAGCCAAAAAAGAAAAAGATGTTGGTTTTCTCACATTATGATGGAATGTGCATGAAGGGGTGCACTAAAGGCAGGGGAATCTGTGCTTTTTTTTTACTTGACCCACAAGTCCAAGAAGGGGATCAAAGAGTCTTGAGTTTCTACATCTCTTTTGAAGAGCTCCAATATGCTACCGTACTCTCTGCTAATGATCTGTGGACTGAGGAGGAACAGTGGGAGGGCTCCCTGCGGGATATTTGAAAGGGTGAGGGGAAGACGGATGAATTAGACAGATAAGGCAATGGGAGAAATACAGTGCTCCTAAATAATTCATAGCTCACTTGCAGCATTTTGGAGTGTGATCACTGGCAGGATCCACGGCCCCTCCCTTCCACTCACATGGCCGGATGTCTGAATCTCACTCGTCTGACTCCCAAGTAGATTTTTTTTTTTTTGTTCACAGTCCGCCCCTTCATGTCATCCTCTTTAACCCAGAGGAGATATCTCTGTTGTGTCAACCCTTTCATGGCCGTTGTGATGTTGTGTCTTCCTAAGCTTCCTGTTGTTGGCATTCCCAGTGATTTAGCTCCCGCTTATATCTCAGAACATATTTAATTTTTTTTGAGAGGTCGTCAAGGTTGTCTGCTGTTTTCCTTAACCCTTTCACGCATTGAGGCTACTACAGTGGAACATAACACTTGACATCACAGTGGTGTGAGTGTTTCTTTTCTCGCTCCCACACACAAGGCTTTCCATTTCAGATCATTTAAATACATGCCATTCCTACTTTATATAATTCTTCAGTCTATTTCAGAAAACCAACTGAGCAATCTCTTTCCCTAATGCTGTGTTAGCCTGAGATATATACTGAGCCCACTGATGTGGCTCAGTGATGTGAGGGTAGGGGTCCAGTTTCTGCCCTCTGATCATTCAATTCAATCCCAGCAGACCTTGAACACAGCAGCACTCATTACAGCAGAAGAAGAAAAATAATTGCCTGCACAGATGTTTCTTACTGCTTCACTTTATGGACTTAATGACTGGAGATAAAAGAAACCAGGAATCCTTTACTTGACCTGCCCTCATAAAAAAACTCAGGGCAATGCAGCTTTTCTGCAAGAGGTCTTAATCTCTGACTGTACAGCAATTCAGCTATAATCACCACAAAGAATCCTTTCATGAAGATGCTCAAATGTTCTCCTAAAGGATCCTGTTTGTGCATCTCATGATGGTTGTGGTGAGCTGAAGTCAAGCAGAACTCAGCCCAAATGCCTCTCTGACACTTTGCCACGATCAGAAGGAAATGGAATAGAATAGAACCAATTATAATATCCACCCCGCTTTGTGTAACAGTGGCTTTCAGGAATGCAGAAATAGCCCATTCTGTGTTTGTCTGATCCAAGCTATAATTTTTGCTGAATCTCTGCATGTTGATCCCACTGAATTCCCCATGGGATGTGAAGCTTCTGTAAAACAATGTTGCTGGCTAACATAAATCATCCCAGTTAAATGAATGACATGGTGTTTTAAGTTTACTCAAATGTTTCCTCAAAAAAGAGAGCCATTTGACTTTCCCAGAGGGACATTTTTCTTCAGTTCTCTCTCAGTTGTGCTTTCTGTCTCTCACAGACACTCTCTGTCTCATTCTTTCTATTGGTCCAGGTCTCCACCAAGACCCAGCCCTGGAAGCCTGCACTACTCAGATGAGGATGTCAGCACTAAGTACAATGACCTGATCCCTGCAGAGAGCAGCAGTCTGACCGAGAAGCCCTCTGAGATATCTGACTCTCAGGTAAGCACTGTGACCCTGGCTTACAGCCCATGTCTACTTCTTGTCTGGAATAGGAAATGTATTTAAATTACAAAGTCAAATTCAACTGTTTGAATTTTAAATTGAAGTGACCAAACCCTCCAGGGTCATAACCTTTCCAAACTCAAAAAGTACTTTTCTTATTTAATGTTCTACTTTTGTCCCATTCAAGTTCCATCTTAGTTATAACCTCCAATCTTTTTTGATATAATTACTGCTTTTCTAGATGCTAGATGACTAATTATTAGGCATAATTTTTGCAAATCATCAGCAAGACATTTGCCTCGGGTTGATAACCTCGAAATTAAATATCCTCCGTTAGTCATGGCTGAGATATTTGGATCTGCCTTTTAATACTTATTTCTCCCATGGGAAGGAAGTACAGGCCCAATTCTCATGTCTCATGTGTCTTGAAATCTCGTCACAACTAATTAATTTCCCTAACAGGAAATGCTGTATTAATCTGGGCTTCTGGCTCTCAGCTCATCATGTGATGATCCGAAAAGCTCAGTGTGTTTGTGTTTGTGTTGAAATAGGGAGGTCCAGTGAAAGGACAGGGGGGGTTAGAAGTGATGATACAAAGCCAGAGAAGCCGATAGCAGCAGATTGTGAACATCTGTCGGCCCACACCCCTGTGTCTCCCTAGCCAATTTATCTGGTACCTGCACAGTCAAAACATTGTTCACCCCGGTTTGAACAAACACTGCTCTCCTGGGAGACACAAACTACTGTTATTCTTTTCCTCCACAAAGCCTCCCACTGTTTACCTGCCACTTGTGCAAATAAATGGTGCTTTAACATCTGTTAAGCTGCAGTATCTCACCAGAGCAGTAGATAGGCAGGCACTTGTCAGGCACACACATTTACCAAGTCTGAAAAGTTTGCTGTGAGATTAAGTTGCTCTTTTTTCTGGTTAACCGTTTGTGTTCTCTGCAAGGTCAGTGTGCTGAAACAGTGATATAATTCTCCCACACAAACAGTTTGTAACTAAGAACACTGTAAACATTGTCTCTGTCCAATTCCAGGACACTCTTGTGTACGCTTATCACTTCTGTGCTCCACAGAGGTATGGGTGAGCTCCTCAATGTGTTGTGATCATTAGGGTTACACATGCATTGATAGATTTCCAGTTGTCTCTCAGTAGATATATAGTACTCTGTTTTGGCCCAGTAGTGTGCAGTTTGAGAGTTCGGGTGCTGTATTAGAATTAGCTTTGATTTGAGAGCATAGAAATGTAGCTGTGTTTGTAGTAAACATAGCAAACGGTTTAATAATTTCAGTCTTATACTGTTTTCTCTGATTGGCTCACAGGGCAGTGACAGCGAATATGAGATGGATCAAAGCCGGCAGAAGACCCACTCTTTTGTCAACCACTACATCAGCGACCCCACCTACTACAACTCATGGCGACGACAGCCGAAGGGCGTCTCTCGTCCGCCAGCATACGGCTACTCCCAGCCCGAGCCCCTCGTCGAGCAGGAGTCACGACAGCATCCACCCCCCGTGCCCCCGCTGCCACCACTCCTCCCCCCAAGCGCCCCCTCCCCACAGCCCCAGTGCCAGGGCCAGGGCACTCTGTTCAGGTCTAAGGGTAGCCGGACTCCCACCCCCTCCCTGCTGTCCTCCGACCCCCCCAGCCAGCACAGCACCCTCTACCGGCCCCCCAGCAGCCTGGGCTGTGCCGCTCAGGCACCTACCGCGGGCTTCTCCTCTTTTGTTTGACACACAGCTCTCACTCCAATAACAACAAGACCTTGAGGACGAGTCTTTGATTTTGTTGTTGTTGGTTTGTTTGTATTTTGCTCTTTTTCTCTCTTTTTTCTGTCTATTTGGCAGAGTTGTTGCTCAATATTACGCATTGCAGGCATCTTGAATAGCGTTTTCTCCTCTGTGAAGAGTGTGTGTATGATTGTGTGTAGCGCGTGTGATTGGTAAGTCCATGTGATTATGTATTTTATGAAAGACAATCATTTGAACATTTTTATGCGTTGCTTAAGTACATTCATGTGAAGGGTCAACCATGTAAACAAGGGAGAACAGAACCTGAGGTTCTGAAAAAAGTAAAAACCTTGTTTTAAAAACACTGTATTAATGTTTAATATGAGAGCTTTATAGAAAAAGAACCACCTTAGCATCATATAGAATATGGACCACTTTGTTTGCTTAGACTGGTCAGTGGAAACACGAACTCTGATGGAGTATTATCATGTTTGGACAAAGACTGAGCTGATAGTGAGAAATGGACTCTGACTTTGGAGAGAGGCACTAGCGGTCACTGTGGCCCTCTGACCCTCACTCTGCCTGACCATTGTTGGAACTGCATTATGTGTTTATTATGTGTACATGTCTTATATTGTTTACCAGATATTTATATCATATAGCTTCAAGCTAAACATTTTCCGAACACCACTAGTGACAATGTTATGAATCACATTAAAGCATCATGGCACCTTTATAGTAGTCTGGGGAATGTGTTGATTGTGTGCCAGTACTCTTGTCATTAGATATACAAGCTAAGACAACATTCATAATGTGCATCAGTTTGTTTTTAAGTTATCAAAGAATATGACTGAGGACCAAAAGCACAAATCTTGTTGGTTCAAAAGATTTTATCACCATGAAACATTTAGTTATAGAAGTGCAAGAATAACCATCAGATTACTGACACATATAGAACTGTGACCAAACTGAAAACACTGATTTTGTTTTAACGTGTTTTCTTGACAAAATGACAAAAAACAAGACAACATGAAACTTACAGACAGTAAACATTAAAAGTAAAAAAGCTGATATGATGTATTTGTTAATAAGGCGGGAGAAGAGGGCAGCTTTAGGATATCTTGGTTTATTTAAGAAACTTTATTTAATAATTGACAGCAAAAGTACACAACTATTGTACATGAAATGTATCACAAAGGATCCTGATGTGAAATAATGTGTCCTCAACATGTTACAGTGTAACATGCCATTACTATGACGACAGAAAATGTGTTTTATGCTGACTGTATACATATGTTATGATGGGATGTTTTCTACAACTCTTTTGAATATGCTGGTTTACAAAAGTTGAATGGGACATTGCTGTGCCGGAGGAGGACCCTTGGTGTATAAAGTTTGAAAATCGCTCCAAAACACCATCTGTCAAATATCCAATGTTAACATCACTGTATGCATCATGAAGGAACATTATGGACCTATTCATGATAGTTCTAAATAAATTATTCTATTTTGTAACGGCTTTTTCTTTATGGCTCATCTGAATATTTGATAATATAATGCCATGTTATGGAGAATAATATGTACTGGTAAATAAGGCAGGTGACTTCTGACATTGTGGTAAAGCTTTGAAAAACTGTATCAGACCCTGCTGACAACTATTTAAGAGCTGTTTGCATGGTCTGGAAGTCAAAGTGATTAAAGATGAGACATGATCCTACAGAGCTGAAATGACCTGATTCTCTCAGCCACAACAGAGACATAATTAGGATGCATAAGAGCATGATTTACAGGGAAGAATTTGAAGAAGAACCTGATCCGGTGCAAGCATGCTGAAAAGCTGGGGGAGGGTTGGAGTGTGTGCCTGGGTAATCTCCTTATTTCAGGCTGGAAAACATTGATCTTAAGCAAAGCAAAGGACGCTGGAACCAGAGGGTTCCCTAACCAGAGGGTTTTAAGGGAAAATAGAAAGTCAAGTCAAGGATACAGTTTGATAGCGTTGGGATTTTTTTTATTTACCCTCACCGAAAAAAAACCCCCAAAGAATGACAACATAAATGTGCAAAAGCGTATGGAAAATGTATGCAAATTGCTTAACTTCTGTATTATTGAGTGGCATCACAATGAGATGAATCTTAGGTTTTCTCAGACTATTCCCCAGCAAGAAATCAGGAATTCATGTATTTTTTATATCCCAACTTGTTTCTTCAATAAAACTAAAGCTCAGTTTTAAAAACTAAATATAATATATTGCTTTGTACCAGTTTGAATAATTCTGTTTTGTAACTTTAAATTATGGTAATTCTTCACACTCAATGCCACTCAATTCACTGTGAAGAGGCACACAGAATAATCTTCTGTTCATACACAAAGATGCACAGACAAGGCGTCACATCAACAAATCTGTTACATTTTTACATTTCAGTTCAGTATCTTCTCATGGGAGCGACTTACACAGTGCGTCCTCATTCTGACGACGCTTGTTGGAGTTAATCAGAGCACGATTGCGACACAGCTAACTCAGCCTGACTGCTGTTTTCAAAATGAGGACAAAATCATGATGTATGATGGGAAAAGAAATGGGATGTCATAGCTTCTAAAAAGTTTAAGAAGTCCTCTGGTATTATGGCATTACATGCACAAGTCACATATCGCTTAGTATACAGTCAGTATAGGGCTTCTTCACGAAAGTCGGGACAGTTAATGAAATGGAGATTATGCATCATAATCCATTTTGTGAGCATGTGTTGATAATAGGCTTCCCCACTGCCCTCTTCAAGGCACTGGCAGAATTGTGATGTTCATTTTTAACTAACCAGCTGCCTCTGGATCATTGCCATGGTATTTGTCCATAATAAATAGCCACCGCCACCCAAAATGTCATGGGCGGAGTTACAATGCAAAAAGGTTAAAGGACTTGGTCTTTGCTTTCTGATATGCTTTATAGTCTTAACGCTGCAGCATTTTACACTCTCTGCTGTGAAATAACAAAACTGAAAAGATAGACGATGGATCCCCCTACACTGCAGAAAGAAATTGTTCAATCAAGCAGCTCCTTGTCTAATCCTCTGGCATCAACAGCCATACCGAATAGATCCACATCCCCAGACCACATCCACAGACTGCTGGCTTTGGAAATGATTGCCAAACTGATAGTCCTGGAAAGTTAAAAGGGTATGTACAATCTGGGAGGAACGTAAACATCAAAAGGCCAGACAGCTAAAGATTTCCCTGAATGTCCAAAATGCCTCAACTGTGAAAAGACTTTTGGAAAGACTAAACATCAGCATCAGACACATACGTATTAATGGTTGAGGCAAAGGCTGTTACTCCATTGCAAACACCCAGTCCTGAACCGAGCTGTCAAAGCTGACAGTGCAATACACAAAGCTGCAACAAAAGAAGACTGTAGCCGTATTGCTCATGCAGCAACACCTATATGCAGCCTTGATGTTTCCTCTGCAGAAGTTCAAATTCCTTCCATGCTGTGTTTATTTCCAACTTTCTTGCATTGAAGAAATAAATGATCATGTGCTAAATGAATGTGTTCACCCATAACAGCAGTATCAAGGCTTGGGGAACATATATATATATATATATATACAGACCAGCTGCATGTGCAGTAAAAGCAGGCTTTTGTTTTTTTCTGATTACCTTTCTTGCCAGATTCAATAACCAGATTTGGAGATCGAGTGACAGAGCCCTCTTATGGGGAAACATATTAAATAAAATAAATGTTTAATGATCATTTGAGTGGATGTCAGCCAAGAAAGTAGTTAAAGTGATTCATTTTATGTCGTGACTATGTCAACTAATAGTTGAATGCAGCTTGTTCCTGGACAAAAGGCCATTGCAGTCAAATTCTCATCCTAAAGAGTCTTGTTCTCCCATCAGCTGGTGGGACAGACCACACTGGGAACTTAGCCAAAGACAGGAAATAACTTTTGAATGTGGGTTATTGACACTCTACATGCAGATATTTCGGGAACAGCATGAACGGTTGAGTAAAAACTAAAAGAAAACATCTAGTCCTTCTAACTGTGTATGGAAGAAGTGTGACTTTTGCCCTTTGATAATTATCAACCATTCACACATTCCTTTCTCTTGAGCTCAGGGTGAGTATGCACATCCTTGGGGTGTTCCTCGGCTGCTTCCCAGTCATTACCATTGCAAAAATACAAATTAGCGGTCACTGACGGAGAGCAGCTGATCAACCTGGAATACACTATAGGTCAAACAAATGGGTCAATCACTCAAAACAGCCTTCAGTGATTGCAGTATGTGAGAAATAAATCAGCACTTTTTAACATCTAATCTAATCTCTAAACAGTTTGCATAACAAGTGATTCAAATCTGATATCTGTATTTAATAGCCATATACAACAACCCCATGTGCCTTTACTAACTGTGGGTGTCTCTAATTTTGCGTCATTCTCAGCACAAAGAGTGATACTGTGTCCCACATTTTTGCCGTGTTATCTTGTGTATGCTGTTCATCTTGTACAATTAGCTGGGTGTCTCCCTGTATGCACCTTCTAGAACCTTTATTTTAGGATGCAAGAGGATTTTATTTTCTTCAACTTCCTTTGATATGTCTAGGTTTTTCACAAAGGTTTACTAGGCCTCTCACACAGATTTTTATCATCAGCCATGCCACTTTTAATACCACAAAGAAAAAAGAAAATAGTGTTATGGGTTATTCTGCTAATTGCATTATATATACAGTCTTGACAATATTAATATTTTCTGGACTGATGTCAAAGGTGGGTTGAGACCATAGGTTGAGACCATGGTTGAGACCATAGGTAGAGACCAATGCATTCTACATAAATGGTTTCAAGCATTTTAAAATATATGAGCCCATTTAAAAGCACGATTGGTTGTATTACAGTTAATTCTGATGTATTTCTCAGGTTTCTGTTTAATAATAATACTAATGTTTCATTAGTATTCATGACACCGACCCCACCTTTAAGGGAGAAGGAAATTAGACTGAGGCTGTCTGGTGGCCCCATGCTGGCAGCCTGTGTCTTTAAGGAGCCTGTAAAGAGGGCGTGTTCAAACACACTACCGAGGCAGGAGGCATTGTGCTGAGTTATTGGCTTCAGAGCAGCAGCATCGCTTCTGAGGATGCAGTGAGAGCATCAGTAACGTTTCTAAAAATAAAAAAAGAGAGATCTCTCTGTCGATCGGTTCCGTGGATTTCTCCAGTTTGATCCGAGTGGTTTACGTTTGCTTTCGGTTGCTGAACGCGCCCCCTTTGTCAACCTGCTGGGGGCCTGAAAGTGAAGCAGCACCCGGCTTTATGAATGGGGATGCTCGGTAAGTGCATGCGCTTTTATGTTTGTACTTTCACTAACCACATCAAATGCACCTTTTTATTTGTTTATACAGCTCAAATAATATGTATTTAACAGAGCTGCTTTATTTATCGGTTCAGTAGAGCGCACGGTGCGCGAGGCAGCTGATGCTTTTGTGGTCAGCTACTTATTGTTCTCCTGCCATTGACCCACCCCGAATCACAGCTTTATTGTAATGAGAGTGAATGACTAGACTGATAAATGCAAGTGGGCTGTCAAATGGATACTTAAGAAGACTTATTTCTAGTCCATGTAGCAGTTATTTGTGGGTAGAGTCTACCGTGGCCTTTGTGTCTGAAACCCCCTCAACAGTAACATTAATGTCCTTAAAATTAGCTTACCTGAGAATGCTTTGTAGCTATAATTAAAGCATTGGTTTCTTACGTTAGCTTTTCACATTTCACTAAGCTAGAACGCTCTCAAAGGCCTCATATAGACAGAAGTGAGCCTCTAAATACTCGAAACTAGGCCATAAATATATTTGGTGACACTTTGCTTTTAATTCATATTAAGTGTATTAAACGTGTCTTCTTCCCAATACTGACACTACTTGTAAACATATGTTTTTTGTAAACTGAGAATTAGTTTATTTGGCCTTCATGTTTGTTGTTCTTAGTTTACTTGATCAGGTGACTAAAAAACAAAATTTCCCACTGCACACTTTGGCCTGTCAGGCAGTGCACGCATGTCCTGTTTCTCCAGTTCATTACACACATAACCCAAAGCCTGTTTTAGTTGGCAGGGCCTTTCACTTTGCTTAGCAGGGTTTTCAGGATGGCATCTTTTGAGCACATTGACTGGATAATAAGGTGATAGGCCTCAGGTCTGCAGGCCTTGGCCGACATACTGATAAGAGCTCCTCACTCAGCAATTGTTTGAGTAGATAATGTTATCTGATGTCTCTTCTTGTGAGGCCATCTGGGTGGCTTTCTTTGTTTTCACGGGTTAATGTGACATCTGAACCGTCTAATCCCAAACACGCAGAGAGCTTTCGTGAGATGTCAAACATTTCTGCCTGGACGATGATGGATTCAGGTTGATGACACAGCAACAACCCAACCTCCACAGCAAGATTGATGTGTCACAGGGTTAGCAGGTTTAGCTTTTCCCCACATCCAAGTGCTTTTGAAATGCCTTTTTGAGAACAGGCGACACATTTCTTAGCCAGCCTGCACAGGTTCTGCTCCAACAACTTTCCTCTGTTCCTTAAATTACAAAGTGTCTAATTGCCTG